GGGCCCGAGCCCCAGGTCCTAGGCCCAGTGGGGGGTGGGGTCTCCCTGAGGTCCTGGTGCCCACAGTAGGCTGGGGTGGGGTCTCCCTACAGGGGTGGGGATGAGGGTCTTTCCCTGGGGGCCGGGGTGTCGCCAGGGAGACCGTGGGCAGTGCCTGGGGTCTCCCGTGGGGGCTGGGATCTCCCAGGGGGGTCAGGGTCTGGCTGTGGGGGACAGGGGCCAGGATCTCCCTGTGGGGGGAGGCAGCCAGGGTGTCACCCTGGTGACAATGGGTGGGGGCCAGGATCTGCCTGTGAGGGATGGGAGCCGGGGTGTTGCCCTGCTGACAGGGGGTGGGGGCTGGGGTCTCCCTGTGGGAAGTATGGGCAGGGGCCGGGGTCTCCCTGTGCGGGGAGGGAGCTGGGGTGTCGCCCTGGTGACAGGGGGCCAGGGTCTCCCCCTTGAGGGACCAGGGTCTCCCCGTGGGGGGTGGGGGTCTCCCCGTGGGGGGCAAGGGCCAGGGTCTCCCTGTGGGGGGCGGGGGTCTCCCCGTGGGGGGTGGGGGTCTCCCCGCGGGGGCGGGGCGCCCAGGCCCGGCAGCAGCCCTGCCGGTGGTTGACGTGCTGCGAGTAGGAGCCGGAGTGGGAGAAGCGGCGGGCGCAGCGGGCGCACTGGAACGGGCGCTCCCCGGAGTGCAGCCGGGCGTGTTCCGCCAGGTGGTGCTTGTGCTTGAAGGCCTTGGGGCAGAGCGGGCAGCGGTGCGGGCGCCTCCCTGTGGGGACGGGGACGTCAGTGCGGGGAACCCCCGGCCCCCCGCTGGGATCCCCCCCGTCTCCCCAATACCGTCCCCCTCGCTGGGATCCCCCCGTCTCCCCAACGCCAGGTCCCCCCCAACTGGGCTCTCCCCGCCTTCCCCGCTGGGCTCCCCCACCATCTCCCCAACCCCCGTCCCCCCCACTGGGCTCCCATCGTCTCCCTGTCCCCAGGATCCCCCCACCAGTCAGGACCCCCATCTCCCCCCCCGCTGGCGCCCCCAGCTCACCCGTGTGCTCGTATTGGTGCCGCAGGAGGGAGCTGCTCTTCTGGAAGGTTTTGGGGCAGAGCTCGCAGAGATACAGCCCGTCGGGGGTCCTGCGTAACTGCCTCCGGCCGCCCCCCGGCTCCCCGGCCGCCTGCAGGGGGCGCCACCCGGCCCCGCCGGCTCCCTGGGGCGGGAATGGGGCTATCAGCGGGGCCGAGGCTGGGAGCTCTGTAGCCCCCATGGCCGGCATGGACCAAACCAGGGAATGCAACACCCCCCAGCTCTGCTGGTGCCCCTCACTCCCGACCCGCAGCCCCTGTTATACCAGCCCAGGGTTCCCCGCTCTACAGCTCTGCTGGTGCACCTCACTCCCGACCCGCAGCCCCTGCTAGCCCAGCCCTGGGCTCCCCCCACAGCCCTGCCGGTGCCCCTCACTCCCGACCCGCAGCCCCTACTAGCCCAGCCCTGGGCTCCCCCCAGCTCTGCCAGTGCCCCTCACTCCCGACCCGCAGCCCCGCTTTCCCAGGGCAGTTTCTCACCAGAGGCCTGTGTTGCTCCCTGTGGCCCGTGGGCAGGGCTGGCTCCGACTCCGCCCCGTACGGGTAGAGGAGAAAGGGCAGGAACTGGGGGGCCGGCAGCTCCGGGTTCCCGTGCAGCCGAGGGGCCCCGTGCGGGAGGAGATGGCTGAGGGTACTGGGCAGGAAGGCTGGGAAGAGGGTGCAGAGGGAGGTGGGCAGGTAGAGGGGCTCGTAGGGCAGCCGGCTCGGGGGCTCCTCCGAGGGCACCGGGCTGGGCTCCGTCTCCTTGCCTGGCTTGGGCAGAGACAGGTCCAAGGGCTGCTCCATGGTGGGGATCTCGGGGGGGCCCCGGTCAGGGCCAGGCCCTGGCACATTGGCATCTCTGGGTCCCTCCATTCCCAGGTCAGGGGGGCCCAGAAGGGGCCAAGCCGGGTCGGGGCTGTGTGGGGAGCAGAGGTCTCTGCCGTGGCCCCCCCGGGGCCTGGCAGCACATGGGCGGCTCTGCCATGGGGCCGGGGCGTCGGGGGCGGGCAGGAGGCAGCGGCGGGAGCTGAGGTGGGAGCTGTAAGAGCCCGAATGGGAGAAGCGCTTCTCGCAGGTGGCACATTCGTAGGGCTTCTCGCCTGGGGGGACGGAGACAGGGGTCAGTGCTGGTGGGGGGACACACGAGCTCTGAGAGCCGCAGGGGGGTGAGAAAAAGAGACGTGCAGACGCAGGGCCCATCCCGTCCCCGCCCCACGAGATCCCAGCCCCCCCCGCTCTCACCCCAAGCGCTGGGACATGGGCTGCGTGGGAGGCTGGGGGGCCCTCAGCGCTGTGGATGCGCTGAGAGTGAGGGGAGGGCAGAGAGTGGGGGGACAGAGGGGTCTCACCACTATGGATGCGCTGACAGTGGGGGGCTGGCTGGGGGGACAGTGGGGGGGTGGCTGGGGGGCGGGGGACAGTGGAGGAGGGCAGGGGGGTCTCACCGCTGTGGATCCGTTCATGCTCTTTCAGGTGGTGTTTGTATTTGAAGCCCTTCCCGCAGACCGGGCACCTGAACCGCCGCGTCTCCGCCTGCCCCGAGACAAACCCCCATCGTTAGGGGCTGGACAGAGCTCCCCGCGCCCCCACTGCCCCCGCCCCAGCTTCCCCTTGGCTCCCCCTGCCTCCCAGCTCCTCTCAGCCTCCCCCACCTCCCCTGGGCCTGAGCCCAGGCCCTGGGGTCGTCTCCCCCCCGCCCCGCACTGGCTGCGCCGTACCTGGGTGGGGCGGGGTGGGCTGGGGGCCGGCAGTGAGTGGCCACGTGTCGGCTGAGCTGGGCGCGCTGGCCCAGGCAGACGAAGGCGCGAGAGCCGCACTCGCAGGACGGGGCACCCGGCCACGGCACCGGCGCTTCGGGGAGCTCCGGAGTCCGACCTGGGGAGAGAG